GAAGGAGAAAGTAGTTGAGGTCCATGGTAATTGGGACAAAATACAACATGGTTTTACAAAAGGTAGATCGTGCTAAACCAACCTGATCTCTTTCTTTGAGAAGGTAACAGATTTTTTAGACAAAGGAAATGCAGTGGATCTAATTTACCTCGATTTCAGTAAGGCATTTGATACGGTTCCACATGGAGAATTATTAGCTAAATTGAAAAAGATGGGGATCAATATGAAAATTGAAAGGTGGATAAGGAACTGGTTAAAGGCGAGACTACAACGGGTCTTACTGAAAGATGAACTGTCAGGCTGGAAGGAGGTTACTACTGGAGTTCCTCAAAGATCGGTTTTGGGACCTTTTATTACTGACCTTGGCATAAAAAGTGGGAATGTGCTAAGAAAGTTTGCAGATGACACAAAGCTGGGAGGTATTGCTAATACAGAGAAGGACCGGGATATCATACAGGAAGATCTGGATGACCTTGTAAACTGGAGTAATAGTAATAGGATGAAATTTAATAGTGAAAAGTGCAAGGTCATGCATTTAGGGATTAATAACAAGAATTTTGGTTATAAATTGAGGACACATCAGTTGGAAGTAACAGAGGATGAGAAGGACCTTGGAATATTGCTTGATCACAGGATGACTATGAGCCGCCAATGTAATATGGCCGTTAAAAAAGCTAATGTGGTCTTGGGATGCATCAGGCGAGGTATTTCCAGTAAAGATAAGGAGGTGTTAGTACCATTATACGAGGCACTGGTGAGACCTCATCTGGAATATTGTGTGCAGTTCTGGTCTCCCATGTTTAAGAAGGATGAATTCAAACTGGAACAGGTACAGAGAAGGGCTACTTAGGATGATCTGAGGAATGGAAAACCTGTCTTATGAAAGGAGACTCAAAGAGCTTGGCTTGTTTAGCCTAACAAAAGAAGGCTGGGGGGAGATATGATTGCTCTTTATAAATTTATCAGAGGGATAAATATCAGGGAGGGAGAGGAATTATTTAAGCTTAGTACCAACATGGACACAAGAACAAATGAATATAAACTGGACATTAGGAAGTTTAGACTTGAAATTAGATGAAGGTTTCTAACCATTAGAGGAGTGAAGTTCTGGAACAGCCTTCCAAGGGGAGTAGTGGGGGCAAAAGACATATCTGGCTTCAAGACTAAGCTTGATAAGTTTATGGAGGGGATGGTATGATGGGATAGCCTAATTTGGGCAATTAATTGATCTTTGACTATTAGCAGGTAAATATGGCCAATGGTCTGTGATGGGATGTTAGATAGGGTGGGATCTGAGTTACTACAGAGAATTCTTTCCTGGGTGCTGGCTGGTGAGTCTTGCCCACATGCTCAGGGTTTAACTGATCGCCATATTTGGGGTCGGGAAGGAATTTTCCTCCAGGGCAGATTGGCAGAGGCCCTGGAGGTTTTTCGCCTTCCTCTGCAGCATGGGGCACGGGTCACTTGCTGGAGGATTCTCTGCACCTTGAGGTCTTTAAACCACGATTTGAGGACTTCAGTAACTCTGACATAGGTTAGGGTTTTGTTACAGGAGTGCATGGGTGAGATTCTGTGGCCTGCATTGTACTGGAGGTCAGACTAGATGATCATAATGGTCCCTTCTGACCTTAAAGTCTACGAGTCTATGAGACTGTCTATAGGAGCTGCAATCACACCTCGTAATTGCTGTGTACACAGGTTATGTATGAGTGCTTTGCAAGTATAGTATACTGGTATTCAGGGCCGGCTTTAGACCGATTCAGCTGATTCCGCTGAATCGGGCCCCGCAGCTGTCCACTCCGCCCCCAGCTTACTTCCCCCTC